CCCCATGTTCCGGGTTCTGTTCTGCAGGCTCCAGCTTTTAGTCCCTTTAGTCAGAGTTTTAGTCCCTTCAGCAACAGGGAAGGAGAGCGGTGGCCTCTGACTGAGAAGCTTAAGCCTGACCACTCACTCTTGCTAGACGGCTTTGTGCAAGAGCTGGTGTCCTAGCTGGTTCTATGTCCTTTGGTCTTTGGGCTCTTCTCTGCCCCCTAGCCAATTTCTAGGTAGATGCTAAGATGGCCACAGAGCAGCCCTTGTCCAGACCCTTGTCTCACTGGCCTCTTCTGCTTGTTCATGCTCCTCTCCACAGAGCTGGGCTTTATTTTCGGACTGCACCTGATTCAACAGCACCGACTGTGTGTGCACACCTCACTGGGCCCTGTCTCCCTGTGGAAATGAACTCCAGCCTCTACAACCTCAGAGCCAGAGTCACCTGCCCCCACAGGACACAGCCTGTGCTCTTTGCTGGGGTGAGGGTGTCTGTCCCAGGGCATAGTCCATTGCTGTGTCTGCATGTCTTCAGGGGCTCCGGCGAGCAGTCAACACCTCCGCCTGCCCCTCACCAGCTAGAACTAAGGTCACTGAGTGACAGCATGCCTTCCCCCACTAAGACTGCTTCACAGGGAGAAGAGCAGGAGAGAACAGCAAAGCTGTCTTCCAGAGGCTTGGGGCACAGCCTGGGCTCGCCTGAGCACCCTCAAGAAAGTCACAGCTGTCTGCTTGGCCCAAGTTCTCTGTAGGGAGGCTATAGTCAGGATGCAAAACTGGCTAAAAAAATAATTGTGTGTTGGATTTCTTTGTACTATATACTGTGTGGATGAGGCCAGCACCCTCCATGGCTTCCCTTCTGCGGAGGCGAACAGCTCTGCACCATCTTGCCTGACCACCCTTGAATCAGTGCAGGTCAGTGGCTGTGGAATATAGCCCATGGGTTAATGAGCTGCTGGGAGAGGATGCTGTGGGTGTGGGTTCTTATTTCTGAAGACGAGGTCTGTCTAGGCTGGTGAAGGCCCACGACCTTGGGGATTCTAGGAGTGGAGCAACTGGGAGAAAGGAACTCCTCGTATCAGCCATGTGGAGCTCTGCCCTCCAGGCACAGCATGCCACTAACGTCTTGATATCAGAACACCGGTGGCTACCCACAGGGAGCTCCCCAGGTAGCCCACATGAGACCCCTTCTCTCGCCAGGGTATTTAAATGCGTCACAATTGTTGGCAGGAAGGCTCTGTTTTAGTTACACATGCTCCTGCAAGAAGCAGAGCTACTCATCAACTGTGAAGTCAGACTTCGGTGGAGTCGTTCTATTGGTCTGTCGTTGGCAGCCTATCTGAGATGAACAGGTGTTTGCTCATTTCTCCCCAAGAAAAGTCACCCCTGAGGCTATCTGACAAGGAAAGAACAGAGAGGGGAGTATGGTAGAAGGGCATACCAGCCAACCAGAAGGACCAAGAGTGACAACGGCCTCAAGTCTCCAAGTAAGTATTAGACTCTACCACGAAGATGGACTCTTGAGGAGTTTTATAATAATGAAGTTATTTAAATTGCATCTGTGGGAAGATTGAAGCTAAGCTGAGAATCTTCTTTGACCACTACTTCTAATCCTTGTATAATCCTGGTCCCACTCTCAGTCTCCTTATCGGTTCTATACTTCTAGAACCTATGCCAGGCTTGCTGGAAATCACTATGTGGTCCAGGCTGCCTGGATCCACCATCTTGCTCCCTCCACGTCCGGCTGCTGGAATTACAGGTGAGCCACACCTGAGAGGCAGGCTTTGGATCTTGAAGGAGCTGCTGTGGTGAACGGATTGAATCAATGTGTGGATGGCTCCATCACTTTGGGAGTGGCCATGTTATTAAGCATCTCTCTGGCTAATGTCCTTCACCATGTTACAGTTTGGCAAGAATGGCCCCACCTGCTGCCAACACCACACTCTTGGGCTACCCAGATCCTTGGCTGTGAGTTAAGTGAATTTCTGTTTTTATTTTGTTTTATTTCTGGTAAAGGAGACTGAGGGGCCTCAATTCTTCTAAGCTTATGCTTGAGCACTGAGCTATACCCTTCTCCAGTAAACCTTCATTCTTTATAGATTACCCAGCATGTGTTATTCAGTTATAGCAACAGAGAATGGACTAAGACAGGTGTCATGCCAAAGGCTTTGCTCCGTTGAACACTAGCACATGTTGGAGAAGTTTCCTCATCAGCCAAGGGCCTTCTCAGGTAGGTGTTTGCTTTGTGGTATAACGGAGCATGGACATTCCACATGGGCTCTTTTATCTATATATCCTGTCCACATTTGAGTGTTTGCCAGTTTGGGGATCATATATAATGCTGCAGGGGTGGGCAGCCCCTGAACGAAGAGAATGGTCTTTACTGGTATTGCTTTTACATTTTTATTTTATTTTTTAAAGATGTATTTGTTGACAGCTGGGCATGTGCCTTTAATCCCAGCACTTGGGAGGCAGAAGCAGGTGGATCTCTGAGTCCAAGGCCAGCCTGGTCTACAGAGTGAGTTCCAGGACAGCCAGGGCTACACAGAGAGACCCTGTGTTTAAAAAAAAAAAAACAGTTGTGTTTATTGGACTGGCAAGACTGGCTCATCAGGTAAAGGCTCCATGTCTAATGACCTGAGTCTGACCCTAAGGACCCACCTGGCAGGAGGGAACCAACTCCTGCAAGTTGTCCTCTGACCTCCACACGCACATATGAAATGTTTAAATGGAATTAATTGTACATCTGGAGAGATGGCTCAGAGGTTAAGAGCACTGGCTGCTCTTCCAGAGGTCCTGAATTCAATTCCCAGCAACCACATGGTGGCTCACAACCATCTATAATGAGATCTGGCGCCCTCTTCTGGCCTGCAGGCACAACACTGTATACATAATAAATTGTAAAATATAAAAAGTAAAATATAATTAATTAAAAGGAATGTGTGTGTGTGTGTGTGTGTGTGTGTGTGTGTGTGTGTGTCTTTCTGTATGTGTCTCTTCTTCTTGTTTTTGTTTTTTCAAGACAGGTTTTTCTCTGTGTAGCTCTGGCTGTCCTGGTACTCACTCTGTAGACCAGGCTGGACTGGAACTCACAGAGATCCACCTGCCTCTGTCTTCTGAGTGCAGACATGCACCACCACCACCCTGATGTGTGTGCATGTGTGTGCGTGTGTGTGTGTGTCTGTCTCTTTCTGTGTGTGTCTCTCTCTGAGTCTGTGCGTCTCTCTGTGTATGTGTCCGTGTCTCTCTGTGTGCACGTCTGAGTGTGTCTGTGTGTGTGTGTGCATTCATGCACAAATATGGAAGCCACAACAGGGTGTTGCATGTCCACATCTATCACTCTCTACTCTCCCTTGTCGCTTTCTTCTGTGTGCAAGGCCTTTGTGCAAATGCTCAGAGTGACAGAAAATATGCCGACAGAACTGGACTAAAATAAAAAGATTTTTTATTTTTGTCTTATGTGGATGGGTGTCTTTGCCCAAGTGCATGCCTGGGCACTGCATGTGTACAGGGTTCGTGAAGGCCAGAAGAGGATGTTCCAGGATCCTCTGGAACTGGAGTTACAGATGGCTGTGAGCTGCCACATGGGCGCTGGGACTCAAACCTGGGTCCTCTTACCCACAGAGCCATCTGGTTAGCATTCTTTTCTTTTTCTTCTTTCCATTTTTTATTTTAATTTTAATTAATTACACTTTATTCACTTTGTATCCCCCTGGTGGCCCCCTCTCTCCTCCTCTCCCAATCCCACCCTTCCTCTCCCTTCTCCAGACATGTCCCTCCCCAAGTTCACTGATAGGGGAGGTCTTCCTCTCCTTCCTTCTGATCCTAGTCTATCAGATCTCATCAGGAGTGGCTGTATTGTCTTCCTCTGTGGCCTGGTAAGGTTGTTCCCCCTCAGGGGTAAATGATCAAAGAGCAGGCCAATCAGTTCATGTCAGAGACAGTTCCTGTCTCCATTACTATGGAGCTCACTTGGACACTGAACTTCCACGGGCAACATCTGTGCAGGGGTCCTAGGTTATCACCATGAATGGTCCTTGGTTGGGGTTTCAGTCTCAGAAAAGACCCCTGTGCTCAGATTTTTTGGTTCTGTTGCTCTCCTTGTGGAGCTCCTGTCCTCTCCAGGTCTTATTATTTCCTACTTCTTTCATGAAATTCCCTGCACTCTGCCCAAAGGTTGGCCATAAGTCTCAGCATCTGCTTTGATACCCTGCAGGGTAGAGTCTTTCAGAGGCCCTTCTGGTTAACATTCTTCTCAGAATGGCTTCAGACAACCACCTCTAAGACAGAATCTGCCCGTGGGGAATGGAAAATGGCCAGTCAGTCCTGTTGTCTGCTCCCCTCCATTAAACAGTCAAATAAAGTGAGAGGTTATCAGGTGACAGAGACCTGAAACCCCCGGAGGAAGTCAGCGTGGGTCAGCAAAACCCGCTGATCTCTCCCACAGATTCCAAGGACAACAACGGGGCAGTCAGACGAGAAGGGAGAGTCAGCGGAGGTCCTGGTGGGAGAACCAGTGAAGACTCATCTGTGAGCAGGGCTCTGTCCTACCCCTCAAGCCAGCCGGCTTCCTCAGCACCCACACTCAGCACTCGCCTCCCTCAGTGGGACCAGGCTGGCCTCTCCTGGAGGCTGAGGCTTTCTTTCTGAGAAGTCCTACTTCTTTCCCTCCCTGCCTTTCCTGGCTGCCTAGAGACGGGGTACCACCCATCCAGAGCAGATGAGAGAAAGAGCAGGTTGCCCAGGCTAGTCCCACATGCAAGCTTTTAGAGTACCCTGGATCCTGACAGAGACAGCAAACAGCAACACGAATGATGCATCATGTCCCTGGACACTGGGTGATGGCAAAGGCACAGCTGTAAAGGAGCCCCCCCCCCTTGTGCCTCGGGAAGAGAGATTCTGAAAGCAGGACGTCCTATGCTGAGGTCCCCAAGACCTTCCTGGCCTGGCCTTGGTGACAGAGGCAGTGGGGTGGCGGGCCCACACAGGGCAGAATGGCACACAAGAAACACACCTCATGGCTGAATAACAGTAATTATTATTATAACAATATCATACATCCAGGACAAGCCCAGCTGCCCAAGCCAACCATAAAATCCGTATGTACAGTAGAGTCCACGTGGATGGAGGGTTGCCCACCAGCACGCCGGGGCCTTACTTATATCAACTCTTTAAGGAGGGGCCAGCCCCTCCCCGCCCCCTGCTAAAGCCTAGAACAAGTGGAGGAGGCCGGTACTGCCAAAGGCCCTTTCCTGGTCAGTATGCTTATGCCAAGGAGCTAGGCCCACCTGCCCCTCATGGCCTAGTGTGAGGAATAGGTGGGTAACCCCACGAGGGAACAGGTAGCCAGCCTGGGAGTGTGGCTTCTCTGAGTTCCCCTTCCACCCTTCCTGGCTCCCTCTGTGGGCCTGCCCATAGCAGAAAGGGGCCAAGGACACGCATGGCACAGACAGGGCAGGACGTGCAGAGCGGACCCGTGGCATGCTTGGTCCGCCCAGGCACCATGCAGCCAGCCTGGACTGTTACACAGGTGTCAGAGGACTGGCAGGCAGTGGAGTCTGAAGGGCCCTCCCCGGGCTGTGTAGGTGAGTCAAGTCTATGGCGGAGCCTCCTGAGAGCCTGGTCTTTGGGAAGGGAGCTGCAGAAATTCTGGAAGTACCAGGTCCTCTTTCCGAAGAAGTCCCCTCTGGTCGTGGGCCCCACTGCTCTGCACTCGGTTCAGCAGCTCCACCAGACCTGGGGGCAGCCACAGAGTCAGCGGCCCACATGGTCAGAGCCATGTCTAATGCTTCAACCTTATGCCACCTGCTATGACCAGAGCCCCTTGACCCCAGACTGTCAGTGTAGTCTAGCTCCAACGGCCTTTAGCCCCAGCCTCAGCTCAGGCCTCTCTGATGCCACCCTCCACGATCCTCAACCCACTTCCCTCATCCCTCTAATCCCAGAGGCCCCATTAACCCCACAGTGCACCTTCTATGTCACAGGTCTGCCGGTTCCCAGCAGAACTGCTGGCGTCTTCCACCAGCAAACTGGGGGGCAATGGAGGAAGATGAGCGTTCTTGTTCTGGGTCCTAGGGAGGCATCCCTGCAAGAAAGTGGGGTTAGGGCACAACTAGGAAGGGAGAAGCAGAGACTGGAACCCCTCCCCCCTCCAGGCTTTCAGCTACCTGGCTGCTGCGACAGGGGGATAGGCTGCTGGCTTCACTCATCTTCGCACCTATGATGGAGGGCACCGGTGTGGGGTTTGGCCCTCCTCTCAGAAGCCCGTCCTTCTGTGCACCCTGGGAAATCAGGTCCCAAGGGCTAAACATTACTTACCGGGAAGAGTGTCCAAAACCAGTGTCTGTGAGGCCACTGAGCTCACCAGCTTCTCCAAATCCAGCGGCTGCTTCTCCCCCGGCTGCAGAAAGAGGTTAACAGCCACGGGCTTGACCACAAAGCCTCCCCTGCTGGTCTGGCCCTCCCTTGACCTACAGCTCCGTCACTCACCCTGTGCAGGGCCACCTGATCCAGGCTCAGGCCATGCTTTGCTAGGATGGGCTGCAGCGCCTCCTGCAGGCGCTTGGTGGGCTTAGCCGAGATCCTCACCACGCGCTCCAGCTCAGTTAACTCCAGCCTGCACAGGAGGCTAGAGCTGGAGAGTGATGAAGACCCGGGTCCCTTTCCCAAAATAAGCCCAGAGGGGACAAAGCTGATCCGGAGGGGGGAACAGTTTGGGGTGGGGCGTTAGCCTAGGGGGCAGAGCTCCTGGCCCAAGATAAGATTTGAGATTTGGGGACCAGTAGACAGGATGTGGCTTGAAGCCAAATTAAGCTTTGGAGGAGGGAACTCACTGGAAGGTGATCCTGTTTTCCAGCCGCACTTCCTGGTCCGCCAGCACGGTGCAATCCTGATCCAGGACCAAGGCTTTCTGCAGATGCCGGGCAGGGTCTAAGAATCCCCTCCCTCTACCCCAAACCATCCCTAGGGATACCTGGAAACTACCTTCCTCTCCTCCGGGCGGCTTCTAGTGCTACCATGAAGATCAAAAGGGCTAGCCCACAGGTAGCCGAAGGCTGGAAAGGCGCTGGGGTAAGGGCCAGCGGCGTCTGAGCTAAACTTGGGTAAGATCATGACTAAGGGATCTTAAGAGCAGAAGATGCCTTGGGCATGGTGGTGCGCTCCTTTATTCCCAGCACTTGGGAGGCAGATACTGATGGAGTTCAAGGCCAGCCTGGGCTCCACAGTAAGTTCCAGGCCAGCCGGGGCTACACAATAAGACTCCAAAGGAAAAGAAAAGAGTGAAAGATGCTTGGGAGTGCTAGGGGAAGCCTGGAAGAAAACTCTGTTTGGGGAAATGGGGTGGGAGGTGGGCATGCAGCTTGGGCCCTGGTTTCCTGAATACCTGCCTTTCTTTCGGGCGTGGGAAACTCAAGCAGACTATCTGGATTCCCTTCCCCTCAGCACTGCCTTTCTTAGCCATTTGAACCTTGTCTCTTGCCCACTAATGCCTAGGTCAGCCTCCGGCCCCAAGCACTGCTATGTGTGTGTGTCCAGAAAGAGGAAAAGCTTTCGGTACAGTCCCAACACACAGTAGGTGTGCAGAGAAGACTAAGGTCTGTACCAGCATAAGCTCTGAATGGGGAGGGTTGATGGGGGCACCTCTCCCAGACAGCAGGGTGTGCTGTGCCATGGGGACAGGTGGGTGTGGGTGGTGAAGTTATAGTTAGCAGGCAAGAAAGCCCATCTGGGCTGTTGGCAGCTGTGCTGGCGGCCTAAGAAAGTGGGCAGCGCTCCTATCATTACTGGCCCCCAGGCCCCCAACATGTCCTGGCAAACGCCTCCTTCCCTCCCTGAAATGCCCTGTCCCTGCGGTTCTTCCATACAAGCTCTGCTCTGTGCTCTTTAGCCGCTCTTTCTTTCAGGAAGCCCCTGACCAGACAGGACTGCCTTCTCTGGAAGAGACTCGCTCTGGAGGCTTGATTCCTAATCACCTCCAGCCTGGACCCAGCAGACACAAAACCTCAGTTCCAGTTCTCTTCACACACCTTGGCTACCTCTGGGGCCTAGAAGAAGGCCTGTCACTCCCCCTGGGAGGCAGCACTGCTCCCCTTGAACCCCCTTACAGGGTGGCTTCAAAATGAGTTTCCTCGTTTGCATTTTAAGGAATGGTCAGGGATTAGGTTCATTGAATACTTCTGATGGCAGAGGTGAGGGAATCCCCCAGTGGCATCAGACACATGGCAGAGGGAGGGGATTCCCCAGTGGCACTGGACACATGGCAGAGGGAGGGGATTCCCCAGGGGCACTGGACACATGGCAGAGGGAGGGGATTCCCCAGGGGCACCGGATACTTCCGGTGGCAGAGGGGAAGGAGTACCCAATGGTAACTTCAGAGGACAGGGCTAGACCTGGTCATGATCAGAAAGGAGGAAAGAGTTGGGACTGGTCATGCTCACACCTGCTCATTGCCCACCAGGTAGACCTTAACGTCAGGCAGAGAAAGGCCTCTCTTCTCGCAGATGCCTGCCAGCATGTCACGGATGGTGAGGCCGGGTCGAGCCTGGGCCAAGGAGGCTGTGCCATCCGGCAGGTACACACAGCAGTACTTCCCCGGCCGGCTCTCGCTTTCCCCCTCTCCGCTTCCAAGGCTCCTTCGGTGACTCTGGTTGTGGGCAAGAGCAGGCAGAGGCTGTGTGTACACAGGTGAGGGCGTGCAGACAGGCACACGGCACACAGGGTCCCTGTAACCTCTGGGACACACACTTGTACACTTGGAGGCCGACAGAGATGTGTCTTGCTCCAGGAGCACTCAAACATGTAGACACTCAGCCAAGCATGGTGGTCCATGCCTTTGGAGGCAGAGGCATGAACACCTCTGATTTCAAAGCCAGCCTGCTCTACAGAGTGAGTTCAGGACAGTCAGGGCTACACAGAGAAACCCTATCTCAAAAAAAAAAAAAAAAAAAAAATTAAAGCAAAAACAAAACAACAAAAAAACAACCCCAAACAAACAAACAAAATGCGGACACTCACAGGTAGCTCCACTGCCTAGCCACACACACACACACACACACACACACACGCGCGCGCGCGCGCGGCGTACACTGAGGCGCCTGCAGGAGCACACATCTGCCCGCTGAGGATGCACGGTGACACATTCAGAGACCGCCATATTTAGCATGAAAAGAAAGGAGGGTGAGGCGATGGCTGTGGAGCAGGCTAGGGCCAGAGGGGTCGCCATTCACTGGGAACCCAAGAGGAGAAGTGGCCGCGGTCCTAACCTGCGAGGCACCTTGTTTCCTCCGCCACTCACCTCGGATTTGCTGCTCACAAAGGCCAGGAAGCCCAGGTCCAGACTGGCGGAAGAATTCAGGGACCCCTGAGACTCCCTCCGCAGCGCTGGGTTCGCGGCCCCACCCGTCATCTCTAAGGAAAAGTCAGCAATGGGGGGTTCTCGCCTTCTCACCATCCCCCTGGGCGCTGTGCAGCCCTCCCAAGCTCCGGGGGGTAGCACGGGCGCAGCCTCCCGGAGAAACCTACATTTGGGGGTAGGGTTTGCCTTATTGCAGAGTGTGGGGCCCGTAAGAAGGGGGAGTTGCGCAGACGGCAGCAAACCTCCGGGTGGGCCGCGCCGGGTCTCACCTCTACGGAAGGACTTGCGGAGAGGGCGGCCGCAGGCGCCCTCAGGAGGCGGCAGCTGCCCCAGCTCCTCCACGCCCAGCGGCAGGGACTTCCCGGGCTTCAGCTTCGGCTTCTGGGGACGCAGGGCGGACCGTGGCGCGCGGCGGGGCCCAGCCCGCAGGGCGTCTGGGGAAGAGCCTCCCGGCCCGGCCGCCCTCCTGCCCCTCACCTCCGTACTCACCTTCCTCGCCGCGGCGGGGCTCCCCAGGCGCGGGCAGCCGGGCTCCCGCAGGGGGCGCCCCTCGGCCTCGGCCAGCAGGCATTCTTGGTACAGCGGGGACTTGACGAAGCGCGCATAGCTGTCGAACTTCATCAGGTTGAAGATCTGCGGAGATTGGCGCCGGGAGGGGACAGCGGAGGGCATCCAGCTGGCCCTCGCCAGCCCAAGTAGGGGAGTCCCAAGCCCTGCGTCCTCCCTTCTGTCCTTTACCCGGAGCCTGAGACCCGCCCCTCTCTTGACGCGGTCCCAGCCTGACCTCCAAGGCCTCCTCTGCTCTCACCCTCTAACTTTGTTTGGCCCTGACCTGGCGTTTGGCTCTGGTTCTGCGTTCAAATTTGCTCCTGCCCCCTCGGACTCCACCCCTGAATCTGGTCCTGTCGGGCATTCCCTTGGTCTCCCTTCTCAGCTTGGCGTTGGCTCTTGGCCCCCTCACCTGAAGCTGCTGTGCCCTGAACATGTCGGGCCGGGGCTGGGCCAATACCTCCTCGCTGAGCCAGGCCTGTCGGTCGATGTTCACCGGGCTCAGCGCCTGGCTGGACAGGAACTCATGGTAGATGTTGTGGGCCTCCTGAGCTAGCTGGGGGTGAGGGCCAGGGAAAGGTCAGGGGGCATACCCAGGCCCCACACCCCGCCCCCCTGTCCCTTCTTTCTCTCCACCTGCTTGGTGTCACTGGCTGGAATCTGCTGGAAGCGCTCACAGGCTTTCCAGAAAGTTACGTTCTCTGCGCTGAATTCCTTCTTCAGGAACTCCTGGCGTGAGGAGAAGGGAAGGAAGGCTTTCAGACACAGGCTGAATCACATGTTCCAGCACTGGGACAGACACAGCCGAGGGACCAGACAGACAGACAGATGGTACAAGTCTGGGGTAGCAGGAAAAAATGAGAAACAGGGACGAGGACAAGGAGAAGGAAGAGTTCCCAGCTTTGTGGTGAGGGAAAGGATGCCAAAGACGGGCTAGATGAGGGACATGGAGAGCGGCCAGCCTGAAGCCCTGTCTGCTCCGGGTCCAGCCTCTGCAGTGGCACCCGCCCTTCCCCAGTGCGGCCCACCCGAGGCTTACTGTGAAGTACGCCAGGCCCAGCGGGTCCTGCAGCAGCCGCTCAAAGGACAGAGCCCAGCTGGCCACGGGCTGCTCCTCGGTGGAGAAGGGGCTGCTGGGGCCGCTGGGGAGGCTGTGAATGCTGAGGGAGCTTCCTCTGCCCTCACCTTGGCCCTGGGAGCCTGCTGTGCTGGTCAGTTCTGGAGAGAGAGGGGCGAGTTGAGATGAGCCTTCTCCTGCCACAGCCCATCCCCCCTCCCACTGCGGGCAGGCATCCGCTCTCGGGTGTATTACCTGGAAGACCAGCAACCGTCCCTACTCACTTCCACGTTCCTCCCTCCCAGACATGCTTTACCCACTCAGTCTGTCACCTACCTCCATCAGAGACGGCCAGAACCTAGGAGAGACCCAAGGTAGAAGATCAGAGAAGAGCCGCTAAGCCCTACAGGAAAGTCTGAGGAGGCCCCTGTGCCAGACCTCCAGCGAGAGAGGCCACGTGTCCTCAGACGGTCACCACTGCCTGGGTTTGCTCAGACTGTGCTGGCCGCCTTGCCATCCTGTGCCAGCCACGGTGTGCTGGGACCTACTTAGGGCACCTTCTTGTGGCCCCTGGTGCCCTTCTCTGTCTCAGACCCTGAGGCCAGCTGCGCCTGGACTTCAGGCTTGCCTCTGCCGGGCACGATCTGCGGGAATTTGAGCACATTAGCTCGCTTGTTGGCTTCCATCTGTAGGTGATATCTCCTCAGGACCAAGCATTCTGTGTCTCTAACACTGGTTGGCACATGGTAAGGGCCACGCCAATCCTGTGTTTGAGGAGGGAAGGAGGTCCTCGCTGCACCTGTTCCTCTTTGGGGTGCTCACCCACCCTACCTTGGGCATGGGATGCTGTTTTTGTGGCACAGAGTGGCCAAAAGGACCCCCTCCGACATTCAGGCTCAGGAGATCTGGGATGGGGCTCAAAGCTCTCCATTTCTAGCAGGCTTCCAGGCCATTCGGGAGCTGGTCCAGCGGCCACAGCATGAGTAGCCCTGTCATTCAGGCCAGCTCCCTTCTCTTACAACGTACACTCACCTTGACTCCTCTAGGAACCTGAGCCTTTGGTGAGGCCGACACCCACCCCAGCCTTGAAGCAGTTCTTCTAGTGGTTTTTCTTGGTGCCTCTCCTACCTTCCCAGAGGCCTCCTAGGTCCCCCACAGACCCCTACCCATGCAGGGCAGACAACCCTACCCATGCAGGGAGGATGCTCCCCTTTCCCGGCTCTGTTCTGGGCCCTTTGTGCCCCCTCAACATCCAGCCCCAACCACACAGCTGGCTTCCTGCTGATATCCGTCTTTAAATGCCCCCCCCATAAGCCCATGTCTCAATCGGACACACAACCTCTGCTCCCACTGCAAAAGTTCTGAAGCAGCTTTGCTGTACCCTGTCTTCTTTCACCATCACTTAGACCCCTGGTGTCTCCAATCCCCTTTACCTGCTACATTTCCCTAGGTCCTGTCACAGAAGCTCCCACCATGGCTCTTCTGTCCATCAGCACTTCGAGCAAGCTTGGGACAGCCTCCCCTGCCTTGTTCTCTATGCTCCACCCTTGGAGTGGCTAGGTCACGTGGAAGGCATCACTGGCTTGCAGGATACTACAGGATATTATTTGGTCTCGGGGAGGGGGTGGTTTAAAGGGGCCTCCTATGTTTCAGAATTGAGAGATTCCCATTGGGTCAGTTTTTCTATCTCCTCTTTAAGAGTGATGAGCAAGGTATCATGAGCATCTTCTCAGAGTGGCAGCCTTGGCTGGTCCTGAGCAGCCAGTGACCTTCCCTGCAGGGGATTCTCACTCCTTCCAAGGAACTCTAGGGCCTATCTGATGCATCTGTGTTACTTTTGGAAGCGATGAGAAGCAAGCCTCCCCCTAAACTGCCCGAATTCAAATCTTGCGCTGTGTGTCCTGACAAGAACACTCAGCTATCTTAGTCTGTCCTCTCTAAAGACCGAGCAAGCAATGGTCCTGACATCAAGGGCCTACTTCAGTTGAGCGAGTCAAACACAGAGAAGGCGCTCAAAACACCTTGTGGTGTGTAGTTAAGTGTTCTAGAACATTACATTACAGCACTGTTGTTGTGTCGATAGCCAGGGCTGACGCAGCCGGGTGCTTGAGTTTTCACCATGCAGGAGAGCAAAGAGCACGCAAGCTCTCGAGACAAAGATTCAAATCCTCACTCTGATTTTCTCCTATTTTACAGCCTACATGGGGGTTGAGCAAGAGAGAAAGTTGGCAAGTGCCTGAGCTGGGCGTGGGGCCGGCTCCTCAGCACTGCATACCCCAACCCCTCTCTGTGTGCCCACGCTCCCCAGGTGCCCTTCATACCTTCTCTCAGCTCGGGGGTGGGGGGTGGGAGGTGGGAGAGCCCTGAGTCCCAGGGGCGGGAGACCCTTCAGATGCCTGCGGTCCCTAGGCAGCCCGCTCTTTTCTTCCCCAGCGCCTGCCTGCCCCCCACTGCTGTGTTCCTCCCCTAGCTGCTCCACAGCTGCAGCTGTGCTCCTATACCCCAGAGCCTGTGCTGCGGTCCTCCCCCTCGCCTCACCCTCTTCAAGGCTCCTCGGCTTTGTGCTGCTCTCTAACCCCAAATCAGCCTGCAGGCAGCGCTCTCCGGCCAGGAGTTCCTGACACAGCTGAAGATGCTGGAACTGGGGCCAGCCGCACTAGGACTTTGCTTGGCTCTTAGAGGTTTTATTTCTATTTTATCTTTAATTAGATGGCTGTGTCCCTGAGTAGGGCTGGCTCCCAGGTTTTCTCCAGGCCCTTCCCTCCCCACTGTTCCACCCCGGACTTAGTTCCTTGCTCGCCTCAGTAGGATTGCTGTTGCCAAGTTACAGTCAGCCCTCTACCTGCGCCTGACTAATGAGCCCCTCCAACACCATTTTCCTCCTCCTCGCCTCCACCCTCCACTCTATCAAACTTGTATTTTCCCCACACCCCTGCTTCCTGTTTGCTGTTTCCTCTGCCTGAGTACCTACTTCTGCAGGCCCCTTGTACTGCTCCTGGGTCCCTACCCATCAGCAGATGTCTTCCCCATTTCCTCCCTCTACCCTCGGCCCACCGTGCCTGGGCATCTCATCCATGCAGCCTGAAAGCAGGTCCTGTTGGGAAGGAAGTGTGTCTGAAACCCCTGCTCTGGAGGCACCCTCACTGCCATGCTCAAGCAGTCTTAAGACTAGGACGCTGGCCCAGGTGCCCCCTCCATGCCTGGGCACAGCTGTCCGTCACTGTCTGCTCTCATGCTGCCCCTGAGGCTCTTTGTTCCAGATTACTTTGCTCTATTGGCTGTTGAAAGTAGAACTGGGGCAGAGCTGGAAGAGACAGAAATCTAGAGCTGGGAAGGAGGAGGAATGGAGCCTACTTCGTGATCTGTCCTTTGAGTATCTGGAAGAACTGATTTCCCTTGCGGAGCCTGGGGGCTGCTGGGAGGCTGCACAGGGCCAGAGGGCCGTCTAGGTATAGCCAGGTGGGGTCCAGAGCCCAGCTATGACTTATGCCGCTACAAGGCAGGGGGAAGTTGGGTCCAACAGTGACCCCAGTTCTCCCCTCTGCTTGAAGAGCTATGTCGATGGAGGAAAGGGGAAGAGGGTGAGGAAGGGTGTGGCGGCCAGCGGCGCTCCAGCCCACCCCGGGCTCTGGCTCAGCTTGTCATGCCTTGTTCATAGGAAGTGGCTCTGCAGGAGCTGCTGGCACCAGGGAACACTGAAGAGGGCCACTCAAGTCTCCTGATCCAGCTGTGGTACAGGCAACCCCCTTCTCACTCCACACTCAACGTCTCCTCCCTGCAGCAGACACTACTACCCCTGTTTTACAAACAAGGAACCCGAGGCCCAGAGAAGTTAGTCGAAAAGTGGCAGAGATAATGTTAGATGCTGAGCTTGCCTGTCTGGCCTGGCACTCTCTGTGTAGCCCTGGCTGGCCTCAGATCTCCAGAGATCCATCTGCCTGTGTCTTCAGTGGTACTATTAAAGGCTTATGTCCCGGCACCCAGCCTTGCCACTTCCCTCGTAGACAGAGGAGCTTGGAGTTCCGGGGCTTGTCGCCCTTGGGCGCAGGTGGGGGAGGCCCAGGGACTCCTATCCAACTGTGCCCGTACAGGATCAGATCTCAAAGAGAGCAATCAATCGATAGATCAAAGATCACGATTTCTTTGTCCCCGATGACAACTTACTCAAACCAGGACTTGATTGCAGTATTTTCACTCACACCGCTGTGCCTTTCCAGAGGTGGGCGCCTGCACTGCGCTCACTTCACTCCTGTGGCTGTTTATTCAACCCTAGGGGCCTGGTCCCTCAGCCTGAGCCAGCGCCGTGGGGCTCTCTCCAGGACAGGGCCCTTCCATAATGTACCCTGCACTGCCATCCTTGACCCCGAATTGGGCACATAGAGACACACAGGCTTCCCGTAGCTCTCTTTGCTAGCATGACTTGGGGGACCAATTCTGAGTTTCCAGAAAGAGAAATACGGCTAACTCGAAGTCAAACCTCAGACTCGCTGGGCCATATTACTATGGGTGTTTTCCTATGTTCGATTCTCCTCAAGCCACTCCCCTCTCCCCAGGCCACGCCCCTCCAGCCTGCATGTGCATTAAGGACTATCTTCCATATTGCTAGGCATTAATGGAGAAGATGGCTTTCCTGGTCAGGCTCCTCTCAGGCCTTCTCCACGCCTCACCTACAGCTCTTCCCCAAACATGCTTACTTCAGTAATCTTCTCTCTTGTCTTTCATGCCTCACTAACTCACTGGGGTTAAACGGAGCTAACCGGGGCTGCTCACGGGACTGGGATCTGGGTCTTTTTTGTTGTTGTTTTGTTTTGTTTTTTGAGACAGGGTTTCTCTGTGTAGCCTTGGCTCTCCAGGACTTGCTTTGTAGACCAGGTTGGCCTCAAATCCACAGAGCTCTACTAGCCTCTGCCTCCCGAGTGCTGGGATCACAGGCGTGGGCCACCACGCTCGGCTAGGACCTGGGTCTTGAGTGCTTGGTGTGGGACAAGGCAGAGCAGCCCTAAGTGGATGAGCGAGTGAGCAAATGCAGTGACAGCTGGTACTGCGTGATGATTTCTCAAGAGGGGGCTAGGAGCCTCTAAGTGGCAGCTTTCATTGCAGCTGAACACCAGAAGGATGGGGCTGGTGGCTGACAGTGCCTCCTCAGGGAACGGTGGAAGATGGCGAGGAGGGGCCAGAGCTAGACAGTTCTGGGGGCTCAGGGTGTGTGACCCTTCTACTCAGCAGCATAGCAGTTTTGTTCCTCTGTGCCTCCCCTCGAGATAAGTGGACACCTTGCCCACAGACCCCTCGCCCTTCACAGCTACACTGTCATCACCTGTCTCCACACCCTGTCCCAAGCATGGCCTCCTAAAGGTGCCCATTGTCCAGCAATAGACTTCTGTGAACTATGAGCTCTCAAGGGTCAAACAGAAAATTCAGAACTGATCTAGAAAGAACAGATACAAACATATGTGACTGTGGCTGAGAGGATCTGGGCAGCTGTGGGCTTGGCAGGACGTGGGGCAGAGCTTGTACTGCCCTCTCTATTGTGAATGAATTTTGGGTAGAGAAGCTGTGGGCTGACACAGAATCGACAGGCTAGGTCTGTCTCCAGCCCTCTCAGCTGGCCTGCATGGCCTGCAGTTCTGGGTTCTGTCCCAGAAGCAGCCTGTGGTATTGCTCCTTGGCTCTGTGGCCGTGTCACATGGAGAAAAGCAAAGCAAGTGCCATGTTCCCCCAGGGTGGGAATGCATCCAGATGGGCTTTCCTTGGACTTTCTGAGTAGGGTTGGTAGTAGAGAGAGTAGGATGGTGACCAAACCAACTTTTGGAATTGGTCTCCCTTCCACCCACAAAGCATGGTGCTGGCAATAAGGGGTGCTGGACAAGAGACGGAAACTAATCTTGGGAACTGGAAGTCAGGGGTGAGAACTGGGGTGGGTCAGCTGTTTAATGAGGTGAAGGATCTTGAAGAGGGGCTGGGAATACAGGGGCTGCTGGGATAACGTTTCTGCAGCCTTCTTCAAGGCCCTTGTGTTCGTCACGCCACTTAGTCAACAGGACTTGACAAAGCAGGAAGGGATCTTCCTTGGGAAGAGACAACAGAACCAGAACCAGGTGGCTGTGGACCTGCTGGCTGTGTGTCTTGGCACTAGGCTGGGGCCTTAGGATAGGGGCTATCAGGACACTGCTTGGTCTCCCTGGAGTGGCTCGGTGACCTTGCCAAATGAACTCTGTCCCTAAGGAGAAGAGGAATGCTCAAAACTCTACAGCCAACCATTTGGTGAGTGAATGAGGAGAGCCAGAAACTCTGGGGTAGCCCCAGTCAGGGGTGAGACAGCCTGGAGAGGGTGTCAGAGGAGAGTGCCGCTGCAGCCGGGCGCCCATGCTCAACTGCGCACACCGCTCTCCTGGAAGCCGGGAGAACGGGCAGGGTTGTTCCTCCTGTCCTACCTTTACTGCCCCATCCTGGGCTGCCCAGAGAACACCAGTTCTGGCCGGGCGCCTCTAGAGCAGTGAAGTAAGGGCCCAGCAAGGGCCGATCTTAACCTTATCTTGGGCACCTAGAGCATGAGGTGAAGAGAGCAGGGCTGAGGCCCCGAGGTGCAGGGCTTGAGCAGCTGCAGGAGTGAGCTGGGAACAACGGGGACACTGGGTCCCCGTGCTACTCTGTAAGCAGCTTCAGCAGTCCCAGGAGCAGACGAGGGAGCAGCGAGTCCAGCCTGCCTGTGGGACTGGAGCCTGTGCCCTTACACTCTTTCCTGGAGTTGTACCAGACACCTAGCAGGGCACCTGGAAGGGTTCTGGTCTACAGCACCAGGTTCCACTGCTGGCAGCTGTCTGGACCCCAGCTCTCCAGCCTGCTGGCAGCACCCCAGCCCCTCCTCAGCCTTGCCCGGGTGCCTCCCGGACTCCACCCTGGGTGTGCCCAACCCATCCTTGTGGCTCTGGCTCAGAGCCCACACTCACCATGCGCCCGTTGGGGACACCCAAGTGCTTGGGCTTCCCTGGCATTCCTCCGGTGATTTCGGGTCCCCGACTCAGGGGGAGGGGGGCATCCACCACAAGGATTGTAGAAGCACCGGCCAGAGCTCTCCGGTAGCAGGCAGTGGAGAGAGCTCGCTCTGCTCCTGCGGGCCCTTACATCCTGAAACACCAGCTCACTACCTCTTTTCTCTGCCACAGGAAGTGTCTCTATAGAAACCAAACCACAGAAAGAAGCAAGGACTAAGAGAGCGAATGCCTCTTCCTACTCTCTCTGTCTCTTCTCTCTCTCTCTCTCTCTCTCTCTCTCTCTCTCTCGTGCGCGCGCATACACACACACACACACACACACACACACACATGAATACGCACACTCGCATGCTGCCAACGCACCCTTGGTTGCACCCCATGCAAGAATCAACCCAGAGGGAGCCTCCTTGTGCCCCGTGAGGAGCCAGTAGTGTTCTGTCAGTACACAGCAGGGCATGGCCACGCAGCCAGGCACCTTTGTGGCAGGTGGCCTGGCGGGAGTATTTAGACAAGACATGGGGACATGGGCAGCGGGTCCTGGGTATCTAGCCATGTGCTTTTTCCAGCACACACACCTTCTGCACTCACACCTGCTTTGTGCCAGGCTTCTGCGTGCCTGGCACCCCCTCGCCCAGGCAGTTTGCGTGTGACGACTAGTGTGTCACCTAATGGCCAGGTGAGCAAAGCGGTAAACACGCTGCATGTGTGAGCATGCACGTGGACATGCCCCGTCATGACACATAAGCTTTCCTTCACCAGGGCACCCGAGCCTTCAGACATGTACACACACACTGCATGTCTGAAGGTGGGTGTGGTGGCACATGCCTGTCACGCCAGCACTTGGGAGGTAGAGGCGGGAGAAACAGTGAGTTTGGGGTCAACTTAGCTACACGAGGCTCAGTTTATATCTGCACTATGTCTGTACCTATATCTAAACAAAACGATATATACGTGCATAGTGCCTTGGATGGGCACATCCGACAGGCCTCCGAATGGAGGCCTATGTGCAGGACACCCCAGGGACCCGGCGTGTACGCGTGGGCTGATGGGTAGGAGAGCACACTGGGAACCCAATACCAAAGAAGGGAGTTAACCCATACGCACGTAGAAAGCCCACCTTGGTGCAGAACCGGCTTAGCTCAGGCTTTGTAAGAAAAATACCATACACTGGGAGGGGCGGAGGCAGGGGGAGCTCTGTGCGTTCAAGGCTAGCCTCATCTACATAGCTCCAGACCAGCCAGGACTACATAATAAAATCCTATAGACAGACAAACAAGCAAACGGGGCTGGAGAGACGGCTCAGTGGTCCAGAGCACTGGCTGCCCTTCCAGAGGACCCAGGTTCAATTCCCTGCACCCACATGGCGCCTCACAAGTGCTTGTGCCTCCAGTTATAGAGGACCCCATGGTACCAGGCACGCAGGTGGCATGCAGACACACAGGCAGGCAAAAATAGTCACACACATAAAAATATTATGAAAGTTATTAAGAAAAACTACCATGGACTGGGTGACTTGAACAACAGCCTTTCCTTTCTCTTTTTTCTGGAGTTTGGCATGTCAAGATCAAATGCCAACGGACTTGTGGTCTGATGCACCCTGGCTTGCAGGTAACCATCTTTCTGCTGTGCCCATGTGTCAGAGAGCAGAGAGAAAGGACGCATGTTCCTCCCATCTTGTGGTTATGAGGGACACTCATCAGGCCGTAACCAATCCATCCTCCGTACGATGTAATTTCTGTCCGAAGGCCCTGTCTCTCCAACATTTCTGCATACTAGGAAATGAACAGTTGCATTCTTTAAAAAAAAAAAGTTTATTTCACTAATCTATTGTATGTGGGGGTGCATGTCCACGATGTGACACAGAAACCAGAGGCTAACTCTCAGGAGCTGCTTCTCTCCTCTTACCACTTGGGTCCCGGGGATAAAATTAAGATCATCAGGTAGCAAGTAGCATCCCTCCCAGCTGAGCACCAGCCTCATCTCACTTCTTCAGACAAGGTCTCACTATATGCCTTGGGTTTTAGAGATATATTTCTTATTGTTATGATGATGTGTGTGTGTGTCTGTGTGTAGGTATGTGAGTGTGTATGTAAGTGCATGAGGAGGCCAGAGCATCTGACACCCTGGCTGAAGTTACAGGCAGTTGTGAGCTGTGGGTCCTACGCAAGAGCAGTACATGCTCTTAACTGCTGCACCATCTCCAGCCCCAAGTCTCACTATGTTGCTTAGATGGGCCTGACCTTCTGGGTTCAAGGACTTCCTCTGCCTCAGTGTGTCTTTCCTGGATGGATATAGAAGATGGTGAGACCCTAGAGGACCTTGGAGGCCCAAGAAGAGAGAAGCAGGGTCTGTGCGCTGGCGCATGAGGCATATCATCCATAAACCAGAACATCCACTTTGGATAATTCTGAGAGCCCTGAGAAATGGACATGTTGGAGTCTGTGTTACAGCAGCGATCACAGCCTTAGATTGCTCACCTCTTCCTGAACACCTTGCTCCTGGCCACCCAGGCCGGAGTTTGAAGTGTGGAATGTTGGGGTTGTGTTAGGGGCTGGAGCAGTGGCGAAGGTCTTATTGAGCTGCTTATGGGCTGGGATGTAGTTCATGGGCACGCTTGTCTTACGCGCACGAGGCTCTAGTTGAGTCCCCTCGCACTGCGGAGAACTAGGTGACGCCTGGAATCACAGCAACAGAGGAAGGAGGAAGGTCATCCATCCTCTGCTACATGGCTGACTGAAGGCCCGTGGGGCTGCAAGGGCCTTGTCTCGAACAAACAAGCGCTTATGCAGCAGCTCAGTCCTATAATCCCAGCACTCAGAACACTGAGGCAGTAGGATTGGCATGAGTTGCCAATCTGGGCTATGCAAGTGCTCGTGAAGCTAGAGAAGAAAGTGTGCAAGTGCTCGTGTGGGCATGTGCAACGCTCTGGGTTTGATGCCCAGCATGAGTGTAAACAAATAAGTAAATAACACACTTGTGAGGGAGCTTATGTGATGGAAGTCTGTCTGCTGCACCTTGGACCCAGGCTCCCTCACTTTGCTTGGGGTGCTTTATAGTTTAACAGGACGTCGTCTGACCTCCATGGCCATTTTTTGAATGCTGCTCATCACTGATGGACCGGAGGACAGGCTGTTTGTCTGATAACATGGCATCCTGCTCACGTTTCTTGTGTGGACAGGAAGCAGACCCAGTGAGTGCGTAGTTGGCTTCGTCCTTTTTCTTCAGTCTGGGACTCCAGAACATAGACTGGTAGGTTAAACTTTTAAACTAGTAGGTTAAACTAATAGGTCAAACCTTTCTGGAAAGATCTTCATAGACATGCCAGGGAGAACCGTATAGAGATCACATGCGGGAGAACAGCTGATGGCTGTTCAACTTTAATTCCAGAGAACAAAGGTTATACACCACTAGGGGAGTGGGGGGCCTCCAAGAATAGGTGTACATAATTGGTTGGAACTAGGCACTTCAAAGATGCTTGCTTTGCATTATACGGCACCAGCACAGTCCAATCATAAGAACAGAAGGTCAGTGCTCAACAAACATATAGGTGCAGGGAGGGGAGAGCTAGCAGGGAGCTGTGTCAGAGGCCAGAGGTCAAGTGTGTTTAGGGGAGTCAGTGTCTAGAGACACCCTCCAGATGAAGTCAGGCAGAGAGCAGGAGACCCTGCCGAGGGGAGGGAGTTCTGCCTTTAGCACTGAACTCATACTGGCTGTCTGGCCCAGGCAAGAAAGCAATCTCAACCAGCAGGGTATCTCCAACAAAAGGTCATTCTATGTCCAGTCAAGCTGACAGGGAAGACCAACCATTACACCATCTCTCCACCATGGATTCCAGGGAGTGGAATCTTTGTCGTATTTTGACTGGGTTTATAGTAGCCCTTGGGTGGCCTCAAACTCCTTGTATATCTGGGGATGACCCTGAACAGGAGATCCTTCTGCCCATGCCACCATACCCAAATACCATAAACCCTGCATCTGCCCCAAAACATTGTGTTCCTTCTTATGTTTGCACCTTGGCTCCACTTCCCTCTGCTGAGAAAGGCTTCTCAGGCAAACTCCCAGTGAACTCTACTCCTTCCTCATGACCCAGGTTCCAGAACGAATGTTCTTTTACCAGTTAATTACCTCCTATGTGCACTTTCCTAAATTCTCAGGACTCAGTTGTGACTGAACCTGACAAACTCAGCCCTGGATTGCAGTTCAGTGGATTGCGCACACCCTAGTTTTTATAGGTATAGGTGAATCTCTGGAGGAAGGGCTCATTAGGAGAGGAGAGGCAGAGGGCTTTTGTTGTACATGTATGTTCTCTTTCTCTGTATCCATGTGCATACACAGACATACATATATATTTATAAACATAACCCTCATATCAGCAGGATCTATACCCTTGGTTTCAACTAACTATAGACAGAAAATATTCAGAAAAAAACCTGTTTCTTGTCTTAGTTAGGGTTACTATTACTGTGATGAGACACCATAACCAGAAAGAAAGGGTTTGTTTGGCTTACACTTCCACATCACTGTTCATCACTGAAGAAAGTCAGGACAGGAACTCAGACAGGGCAGAAACTTGGAGGCAGGGGCTGATGCAGAGGCCATGGAAGAGTGCTATTTACTGCCCTGCACAGCCTGTTTTCTACGAGAACCCAGGACCACCAGCCCAGACATGGCACCACTCACCGTAGGCTGGGCCTTCCCCATCAGTCTCTAAGTGAGAAAATGCCCTATTGCTGAATCTTATGAAGACATTTTCTCAACTCAAAGGTTTCCTCCTTTCAAAAGACTCTAGCTTATGTCAAATCAACATGAAACTAGCCAGCACACTTCTTAATGAACACATACAAACTTTTCCTGTCTTTATCAACATCACTATTACAATTTGTTAGGTACTATAAGTAATCTAGAGATGATTTAAAGGATATTGGAGGCCATGCATAGTGGCACGTGCCTTTAATTCCTGTGCTCAGAAAGGAGAGGCAGGTGGATCTTTACGAGTTCAAGGCCAGCAACTATTCCCCTGGGTCATCTCTGCAGGCCCCGAAGTCAGGATTTCTAATGGAAATTTAAGTACCTTGACTTAAAAATACTGACAGCTAAATATTTTACTAAGTAGATTAACAGGTATAACAGAACTGTATCTGGCTAGGCCACCATTGTTCCAGTATCCAGGGCTAGCTGTCCTGGACCTTTCACAGGCACTTTGTGTGTCAACAGGAACTGACACTTTTTGGAGCCAGATGACTTCCGCCTTCAATGAGGTTCCCTGTCAGATTCTGGTCTGCCTCTCCTGCTTCTATCTGACTGTGCCTGAGTAATTGGAGGTAGCGGAGGCCCTTAAATACGGGCTCTTTAAGTCTCCAAAAGAGTGGTGCCCACCCACCGAGTCCAAGCTGGCTCTGGACTTGTAGGCTTTTCTACTTCACTCCAGTGCTGCTTTTCCCACTGTTAACCGGAAAGGTCACTTCAAAGTCAGGATCTGTCCAGAGGCTTAGGGCTGAGGGCTGAGCCGGTCTCAACTTGCGCAAGCAGCCCACGGAAACTACAAGTTCCAGCATGCTCCACTCCGAAGACACAGCCCGCTCCTCCCGCCCCAAGAGAGCTCTGCTTCTGGTTGGCCCGCAAGCCTAACGTGCTGCTCCGTGACTGGTTGGATCTCTTGTTCATCCCAAGATGCACCCCCCCCCCTCGGGCAGCGGCCCGCTGACAGGCGACCTGGTGCCTCCGAAGTTATGGAACCGCACTCTCCTAGGATAGGAGGCCGCCCAGCCAATAAGGCTGCCATCCCGCTGACTGCGAGGCTTTCCTTCTTCACTCTCCGGTGATAACAGTTTGGACAGCTTCCGGCCGGAGACCATTAGAAAAGACACCCGGAAGGCGGAAGTCTTAGGGCGGAAGTGGCCGAGAGAAAAGGAGAATGGCGGCCGGAGCCTGGCTTAGGCGCTGGGGCTGGGGCTGGGGTCAGCGGTGCCCAGGGAGGCCTGGGCTTCCTGGCCCCGGCCCAGGCCCCACTGCACTTCTACATCTTCTTCTGCTGCTGGGGCCGGTGGCTGCGGATATAACCGACGGCAACAGCGAGCACCTCAAGCGGGAGCACTCGCTCATCAAGCCCTACCAAGGTGAGGCCTGCAGCAGGAAAAGTCGAGGGTGAGGACGCGGGACCGGAGAGCGTTGGAGGAGGGCATTCCCTTTTTGAGGGGCGGAGCAGGGCTGCCGGCTTCTGGCGTGGCCTTTTGGGCACCTGTCTATGTCCGTCTCTGCCCATAGGGGTCGGCTCCAGTTCCATGCCGCTCTGGGACTTCCAAGGCAGCACAATGCTAACGAGCCAGTACGTGCGTCTGACCCCTGACGAGCGCAGCAAAGAGGGCTCTATTTGGAACCACCAGGTGAGTCTCCCGAGAGGCTAGGCATGCAGTGATCCACTAATCTCCGGCCTCCTCGGCAGCCACGTTTAATCATAAGCACGTGCTGCTCTTTGTCCTGCCTGCTCCCTGTCCGGGACACACAAATCGTAAGAGTGAATATTGTGTAGTTACTGTGTGTTGGAAGCTGTGTGTGATACTTTCACTTAATTTCTTCAGAAACCGTGCAGGGTATGGATGTCCCCATTTTAATGTCTTAAGAAGCAGGAAGCTAAGGTGCAGAGTTGAGCGTCCCTAAAGTCACATAACAAGAAGTCAGTGGAGTTGTAGACTAAAATGAACCCACTTCATTGCGGGAAGGATGAAACTGTATCTTTATTGAGTATTTTACTGCCGACCTTGCCACACCTGATTGGATTTAACTCTCAGACAGGTTGTTTGGAATAGATAGACTTCATGACCCATGCCAAGGCAGGATAGCCACCGAATGGAATAAACAGCATTTCAGCTGATCTTTCTGAGCTCCACTCTCATCAGTCCAGTTGACAGACTTGATGCCTTCTGGTTGGCAGTGGGAGAACCCCTTTAACGTACTAACAGAGCTAATTACATTTCTCAGTGCTTGGTTGAGAGTCTTGTGGTCGGCTCTATCTCCACTGGACTCATGGGCAGTTTGTGTATATGTGGCCTTTGCCCTGGAGAGCAGGGAGCTGGAGCTACCTTTGTCTTGTCATGTGGGAGCAATTCTGTGCAGTGGTCTGCTGAGGGAATACAGTGGGGGAAAGGGGAAGAAAGGACTAATTTGGGGCTAGGCGGTGGCCTGAGCAGGAGCCTGCTTTCCCCAGGCCGTTTGATGAAACCCTCCCGCCGCCTGCTTGCTGGCCAGCATCCTGGTTTTCCCTTCTGCTCTCCTGGCCTTCTGGCTGGTTTTGTTATTTTGCTCTGGGAGACTGCACTGTTCTTGTGTTACCTCACCGTCTCCTCTCTCCTGCCTTGTGCCCCCACACTGCTGCCAGGGGCATCTGTGGGTGCTTTCTTCCCTCAGCTTTGGCTCTGAAAGCCTGAGGCCTTTCGTGAAGGAAGAACTGCATTATGTCTGTACAATGCGTCCCTGGGTGACTGGCGTCTCCAGTCCTTCTGCTGGTTTGTTCCAGCCTGCCTGCTGCCTTCTTCCCTCAGGACCCTTGCACTGTTCACTCTGTCTGGGACAGTGCCTCCTGGTTCTCCATGACTGCTCCTTGCTCACTTCTCATCTGTTAAGTCTCCGCTCAAATGCCAGACACCCCGAGTGCTTGATTAGTCACCTTATCTCCTCCAGATGACAGTCTGTCATAGCCTTCTGTTGGGACTTTTCAGATACGTTTTCTGTTCTTTTTCCCTTCAGTTTCTGGTGCTGTAGATAGGCCCAGGACCTGTGCATACCAGGCAGGTGAGCATTTCACCACTGAACTATGTGTATAGCCTGGGTAGTTCTTTTTCACTTCAGTTTCTGGTGCTGTAGATTGGCCCAGGACCTGTGCATACCAGGCAGGCGAGCATTTCACCACTGAACTATGTGTATAGCCTGGGTAGTTCTTTTTCACTTCAGTTTCTGGTGCTGTAGATTGACACAGGACCTGTGCATACCAGGTAGGCGAGCATTTCACCACTGGACTATGTATATAGCCTGGGCACTACTCTTCGGTTTGTTTGGTTGGTTTTTGAGACAGTTTCTCTGTGTAGCTTTGGTGTCCTGGACTCACTTTATAGACCAGGCTGGCTTGGACCTCACAGAGATCACCTGCCTCTGCCTCCCTGAGTGCTGGGATTACAGGCATGTGCCACCAGGCCCGGCTGGGTACTAATTTTTAGGAGGTAATGTAGCCTTGTATATTTCACATAAATGAGTTCAGTATAGTGTTAAATTTTGTTTTGTAGAAAGCAAGGTAAAAACATTGATATAACTGGGAACTGGGTTTATCCACAAGTAACAAACATGTCCAAGGCAGTGATACAAATTGGGTTTATTAATGGTTGTTGGTTAGCATAGTCAATGGCTTGGTGATGTCACAACCAAGAGCATTCTGCACTTGCTTGAGTTGCATCGCAGCTCCTAGACTTTTGCTTCTGGGCCCTGCTGGAAGTTTGTAAATGGTTGGAGAACATACTTACTGTTGGTACTGTGCCAGTCCAAAATTATAAATCCACGGGGAAAGCTGGGGAGGTAGCTGAGTGGGGAGATGTAGTGTCTGCATGAGGACCCAAGTTCAAGTCCCTAGCAGCATGTAAAAAGCCTGGTGCCTAGCTGTGTAATCCCAGCTCTGAAGAGGCAGAGACAAATGGATCCTGGAGCTCATTGGCCAGCCACTTTAGCTAGATCTGTGAGGTCCAGGTTTCTGTGAGAAAGAGACACTCTTTAAAAATAAGGTGGAGGGGCTTGGGAGGTGCCTTAGCAGTTTTAAGAGCAGAGGACAGAGTTTGTGTCTGTGCGTGAGAGTGTGTCCCCAGCATCCACACCGAGGGCCTCATGAGCACCTGAATCTCCAGCTCTAGGGTGCTCAGCACTCTGGCATTGGCCAGCGTCCGCAGATATACATAAACAAGCAACAAAGAAGAAATTGTCTTAGATTGAAATATCGGAAAAGACAAGAGGGACACTCATGTGCTTGTCTAGGCCCTAGGCTCAACTCCCAGCATTGAAGAAAAACTTGGAAAGGATGTTGTTTCCAGTGTGCCAAATAGTGGTGTTTTATAGTGAGATTGTTTAGGTGGCACTAGTCTGTATTTGAGACCAGCTTGGGCTACACTGTGAGACCTTGTCTTGTAAAAACAAACCAGCCTGGTAGCTGTGGTGCATGCATTTAATCCCAGCACTTGGGACACAGAAGCAGGTGGATATCCTAGTTTGAGGCCAGCCTAGTCTACAGAGCAGAGATAGCCAATGCTACACAGAGAGACCCTGTCTCAAAAAGAAGAGAGAGAGAGAAAGAAACAAATCAGAGATGGACTCTTTCTTTTTTTTCCCTGGTTGGCCTTGAACTCTGGTCTCAAGTGGTCCCCTTGTGGCTGGGGCTGCAGACATATGTCATTGTAATGATTTCTCAGCTGATTGACGGCAGCTGCCTTTTATTTTGTCCAGTCAGAGATGCTAAGACTGTCTAGCTCTGAAGTGACTTCTTTCTGCAGGGCTATTCTTGCTTGCTTGTTCTGCTGTGGGAACAAGGCGTTAGGACTTTTGTGCACACGGGGATGAGAACTATGTCCCCACAAAGCAGCTTCAGTGGAATTCCAAACCACATCACAGCTGACTTAAGTGACCTGGAGGCTTTGTGTTGCACAAATCTTCAGTTTTCAGTCTGTGGTGGGTGAAGGTATTGGGAGGCTTGTGGTCCCATGGGACTGTTTCTGGGCCCTTCACTTCCATCTGTGCCAGGCTTGCACCAGCTTGGGCTTTTTCTCATGTGTTGTCCTCAGGAACAGTGTCTTAGTTGGTGTTCTGTTGCTGTGAAGAGACACCACAACCGTGGCAGCTCTTAAAAGAGAAAACATTTAGTTGCAGCTTGCTTCCGTTTCCGGGGTTTAGTCCATTATCTTCACAGCTGAGAGCAGCGCAGGAAGCATGGCGGCACACAGGCAGACACGGTGCTGGAGAGTCGCCGACAGTTCTCTTTCCAGATGCACAGCAGCAGACGAGAGACACTGGGCCTGGCTTGAGCACCTGAAACCCCAACGTCTACCCCCCAGTGGCACACTTCCTCCAAAAAGGCCACACCTACTCCAACAAGGCCACAACTAAGTCATCAAATAGTGCCACTCTCTAGTGACCACGTGTTTTATTATATGAGCCTGAGGGAGCTCTTCAGACCACAATAAGCAGCAGAGAACCTACTTGAGACAGATTCTGGGCTGCGTCTTCTACATGAGAAAATTAAACTTGTGTTTAAATACTACGTATGAGCTATTTGGATAGTTTGGTACTTTTAAATTATTGATACCTAGTTTTAAATGTGTCATGGTCAAGGATATCTATCCCTGGACTTTTTTTTTTTTTTTTCTTTTACTATTACCATTTTTTGATACCCAAAGCTTTTAATTTTTCTTCCTTTATTTTTCCCCATCATAGCAAATGTAAGGCCACTTTACTAAATCTCTCTGCCTTTGCCTTCTGATTATTAGGATTACAAGTGTGAGCTGCCATTCCCAGCCAAAATTTTTATTTTGAAATATTATAAAGTCACATCCATTTGGGGAAAAAAGTTGGGACTGTTGGCACATCTCTGTAATCCCATCTACTTAGCCTGAGGCAGCAGAACTGAAAATTCAAGGCTTACCTGGGCTTCAGAGTGTGTTCAAGGCCAGCAGGAACAATTTAGCAACTGCTTATTTCTAAGATAAAAAAGTTAAAAATAAGGACTGACGAGGTGACTCAGCAGGTAAAAGTGCCTGCTGCTCAGGCCTGACAGCCTGGGTTGGACTCCCAGAATCCACAGCAGAAGGAGGAGCATGCTGACTCCCACAGTTTCCTCTGTTCACACCCGTGTTTCCCCACAATAATAATAAACGTGAGAGACAAGAGAGGGGGTTCCAGCAAGTTTTGCTAAGAGTACAGGGAAGTATAGAAATGCTGGGTTCAGTGCCGGCACTGCAGCAATAGATGAATGAAGTAATGCACACCTTAGATTTGATTTCACCTCACATTTCTTCCATTTACATGTGGCAAGATGGTGACATTAGGGTTAGCCTTCTCTCTCACTGTTTTTATCCCTCTCCTCTCTTGTCTCGACAACTTAAATTCATTTCCCACTCATTTTGTCTTTTTTTAAAGTTTTTTTTTTTTCGATGATTCCTTTTTATTTTTTATATGCATGTATGTCTATGATGTCGCCAGATCCCCTGGACTGTGGGAGCTGAGAATTGAACCAGGATCCTCCAATCCTCCAGGAGAACAGCCAGTGCCCTTAAACACTGAGCCATCTCTCCAGCCCTTTTTTTTTTTTTTTTGTCTTTTATTAGTCTGGTAGTTGTTAGGTTGTCTATCAGGGGTT